CAGCAGGATGGGCTTCATCAGCAAGGACAAGAAGCAGGCCTGCTTTGTTAGCATAACAAGTGGCTGCTGATTGGGCCCCCTCACTTGGTGATTAAGGAATTGATGTATAGCTGGGGGCAGCAGATCCTCTGAGGGTAGGGTGGTTGCGCTGCTGGTCCTTCACCTGCTGCTCCCTCCTCCTCAGGCTGGTAAGTGACTTTTTTCCTGTCTTAAATATTTCATGCTTTATGTTTTGCTTCTCTTTAAAGCAATGAAGTGACTGGGAGGTTATCTCCTGTTGGGGAGTCCCTGGGGTCCCTGTGTGATGTGTGGGCTGGGTGGTGAGGTCACCCCTGTGATGGGAGCAGGGCTGAGGCTCCTCCAGCAGCAGGGGCCCTTTGAAGAGGTCAGTCCTGTGGAATGGGGTGGGAAGGGGGTGACATCAGCCTGGAGGGGCAGAGGTTGCTGGGCCAGGAAGTGTGAGATGGGAATCACCACCCAGGTCCACTCCTGCTGGGCATCCCAGCCTGAGCAGGTGCTCCTGGGGGTTGGCACCACGTGCCCCCTCGAATGGACTGAATCTTGTTCTTTGCTTCACACTCGTGTCATGTTTTGCCCTGTAAGCCCAGGAGAGGATTTGGATGTGAGGGTGGGGCTGCCCCACGGCAGACCTGGTGAGGGGACAGGGGTGCTGTGCTGGGCAGTTTGTGCTGGTAGCAGGTTTTTAAAAGGGCAAGGATGAGTTGTTGTTGGGTCTGAGTACCCCCTTCACTCCCCCCAGCGCTCAGTGGGACCCCCAAAGTGTTGAGTCCTGGCTCTTGACCCAGACTCCCAGAGGATATTGCTTGTGAGCCTGAACTGCTCTATGTGCTGAGGGTCCTCCAGAGCAAATCCTGGGCTGCTTTGGGGTCTCACTGGCTGTGCTGCTCCCTGCTAGCAAGGGGTGGAGTGAGAGGCTGCCAGCAACCCCTGACTTGGAGCACAAAGCCTGTCTCTGTCCCATGCCGGCTGCCACTCGGATCTCATCTGTCCCAGCAGCAGGTCTGGGTGGCACTTGTGCTGCTTGTCCTCCCTTGCCCTGCTGCCAGAGGATTTGCCTTTGCTGGGAGAAGCAGCAAAGCCCTCTTGCCAAGGGCTAATCTCCAGGCTGCCAAGGGAAGGGCTGAAGTCCTTACCTGACACACAGCTTCCCTCCCGAGGTCTGAGGGCTGGGAAGCAGCCCCGGTGCAAAGAGACAGGCAGGACCATAGGGCACTGGCAGGGTTGGGCTCTCTGTGGTTTCCCTGGCTCTGGGTTTTGGCTGGACCAGCCCCAGGGTAATAGCGTGAGGGGATGAGGCTGGTGGCTGTGGGAGCCCAGTGCTATCAGCAGCAGCTGCCTGGTGGGTGATTGCAGCCCAAACAGCTCCTCAGAAGGATCAATCTCTCTCTTCCATTTGCTGCTAGTAAGGACATGCTGTGGGCTTTTCTCAGGGTAAGCAGGGAGGGCATCCAGGCAGGAGGCACTAATTGCCCAGCAAGATCTGGGGATGCATGGGCAGATGCTGGCAGGGCAGACTGGTGGCCCCAGACAGCTGGGTCTCTGTCTGCACCCCAAACAGTGCTGGGGAGCTTGCCTGCCAGGCAACAGCTCCTGAGGTGTGAGATGCACCTATATGAATGTCTGGCAGATCTAAGGCTCAAAAAGCCACACCAGCCTGGCAGTCATGGCCAAACCTCCTCCATGGGAAGCCTTGTGGTGTCCCACTAGCTCATCTTGGGGACAGTGCCTCTCCCTGACAAGTAGTGAGGAGGGAAGTGGGAAGCCCCCAGCCCTGAGGAGCCAGAGAGCTGCCTGAGCTAAGGTGCACCTGTTTCTAGGGATGGTTTATTGATTTGGGGGGCTTTTTTCCCTTTCCTGACCCTGCTGTGTCACTGATCTGCTACATGACCTAGAAAATGACCTCTCCTTCAAGTGGAAAGGCAAAGGAACAGCTTAAGGCTCCAGCTCCTTGTATCTATGGAGCACCAGACAGATGGATGGTTGATAACACAGCAAGGTGATGAGACACTCTGTGCCAAAGCCCTTGCGGGCAGTGTCCAGGCTTGATGGGACCTGGCAGGACACAGTGGTTTGTGTCACACCCCACTGCTCTCAGGGTCACTAATGTAGCCACTCCCTGAGTGCCAGCCCACCAGGGTGGTCCCCACACAGAGACCTTCAGGATACTGGGGCACAGAGCCACCCCACTGCTCTTCTGGCAGAGAAGCTCCTTGAGACCAGGGCAGAACATATCTCTGAGCCTCCTCTTGTGTGAGCAGCAAACGCCTGCCCCAGAGCACAGGAGCTGTGTCTGTGTGGGCTCAGCCCCATTTGTGGTGCACAGGCAGGGAAGCTCTGATGGTGCTTTTCCAAAGCCATCGGGTTTGACCTGTTCTGCAGTCACAGGCTGGTTTTTTCATGGTCTCTTTACAAAGGGATGAGCATGGGATGTGAGACCTGGTTGGGTTCCTCGCTCTGCCTGAGGTGTTCTGTCTGACCATGATGAAATTGCTTTAATTTTCTCTATTTAAAATGAAGATAGTATCTCAGTGCCCTCAAGAAGGTATGACAGTGTGCTGGGGAGGGCTGTGTGCATATTAAAGATGGTCTTTATCTGCATTTGGAGTGGGAGGGCTGCAAGACGGGCTGCTTACCCACCAGTCTGCAGAGATCTCTCCTCTTGCTACACCAGCAGCTCCCCTTTTGAAGTGCTTTTTTGCTCCAAGTTGGGTCTCACAGAAGGGGGAGCCTGCAGCTGTCTTGAACCCTGTGTACAAAGCCAAAGGACTGTCTGGCTTTAGGGCCAGGATTGATTTAAATTGCTGTAGAGTGCAACTTAGCTAGTTAGCAACAGTGTGCTCTTAAAAGGGCTGCATTAGCTTAAATAAAATTTGCTTAGAGGGCAGAAGAGAGACTCGCCACAGCTTGTAAATGCCCTCCCCTCTCCTATTTGTTGTTTATGCTGTAGTTGATGTGACAGCCACTGGGATTTCCCTCAGCCTGGCAGGTGACAGAGCTGTCATATCTATTCTTGGTGATGTGGCACACACTTCTGTTTTTAAACATGTAAACACTGATACACCCTGAACCCTTTCCAACTTGGCCTTGGTCTTCAGGACTTCGGAGCCAGTGTAAAGGCAGCTGGTTTCAGCAGAGCTCCTGCACCCTTTAACCCTCTGGGTGTTCCTGGGTGCTGTTGGACCAGACAGTCCCATGTCTGTCTGCTGCACGTGTCCCTGTTCTCTCCTGGAGAGAGGTAACAGGTCATGGCTAAAGCTGGGAAGGGCTGACAACCTAATCTCCCCTCAGATGACTCGTGGCAAAGGGTTGCAGGAGGACAGGGAAGCTGTGGCATCATGGGACAGGCTCATACAGCACAGACACCTGGTGGAGGGCACTTTTACTGCCGGCATCGGGGATAGTGGCTAAAGATGCTCATGGTTTAGTTCCGTCAGCAGTAAGGGAAGGGGGAATCTGTCACCCAAGTGCAGAGATAGAACCAGAAGTGGCCCGTGCTGTGAGATGAGACTGTTCAGGAACCAGCAGTTTCTCAACCCGCCCATGTCAGGTTAAACAATTAATGAGGAGGGTCAGCACTGGGAGCTACAGGGCAAACAGGGTCTGCCTCTTGCTGCGGGGTGACTGTGCTGGGAGCAGAACAGACACACGACTGCCGGGCTAAGGCCTCTGCAAGGAGCAGCTGATGCATCATGCTGGGCAGGAGGCCACAGACCAAACTTTATAAAGCTTTATTAAACATTTTGAACAGCTGTGCAATGAACAAACAATACTCTGGAAGTTTCACAACCTCATAGCTTGAACTTCCTCGGGACAGCAACAGCTGCTTCTGCTGCTCTCCACAAGACTGAAGTAAAGACAAATAGATGGCAAAGGGAAGGGAACCTTTAGAAGTTGAGAGACAGTATTTTGTGTTAACCTCTAAGGTTTCTCATAGGTTTGGCTGCACAGAGTAATATATGCAGCGTGAAGCCCTGCACAACTGTGGCTGTAGGACTGACCCACCACCACTCAGGCTTCCTGACATCCTTCTGCCAGGGAGGTGGAGACAACAGAACACCTCCAGCCTCTTCCCTTCTCCAGTCAGTAGCACCAGCACTTTCTGTCACCCCTGGCCCGAGAAAACTATCACTGAAAATGGTTGAAGCATTTACTGCTTCAAGCCATGTCTCCACCTCAGTATCCTCTCCTGCCCTGCACACATCTGGTTTTTCGGGCTAGCATGAGTTTTATAGGGTGAGGGTCACAGTGGCTTTCAAAACCCCAATTCTTGCAGCATCCCAGTAGTCAATACCTCAGTAAACCCTGGAAATCTAGAAGGAGGGGAAGAGACAGTCTCCATGACCCGTGAGGCTTTATAAAAGCAGCAGCATATCTGAGGCTTTCAGGCTATGATCTCGGAGCATAAGTAGTTGAGAAAGCACTTGGGCAGTGCACGCATCTCTTTGGCAGGCTGAGCAGGAGGAGTGACTCAACTGCCTCTGGCTCCAGCAGCTTTTGGCCAAGTGCATCTGTGAGCTGTCGAGCTTGCCCTTGATCACAAGGAGGGAAGGTTGGCTCCCCACAGAGGGAAAGATGAATAGAATCTTGTAGCTACTCGAGCAGGGCTGAAGGCCCTGAGTTAGACCATTGTGGCCTGCTGCAAAGTGAGTGACACACAACTCCACTGCCATGCAGCAGCTGGGCAGAGGCCAGCAGTTCAGTCCTCCACCAGCTGGGAGGGCTGGTGTCCATTCCCGGTGATACAGGAAGGAAGAAAAAAAAAAAGATTTCTGCTTCTAAAAAAGCAGGTGGTGCTGCCAGAGTTCACACAGTAAACAAGTTGAATTTCACAGGCAGAGTGGGAGGACTTCACCACTTTAGTCCACACACAGTTACAGGAAACAGGCTGGTTTTACTCCAGTCACATGCCTAACACCCCCTTCCCTCCTCCCTAGCCCAACCCCTTTCAAAAAGCAAAACAAGAGCCCTCAGCAGACTGGAAGATTATTGTTTCCTAGGTGCCCACTATGCTGGGATCATGAGCTGATTCCGGCAACTGGGATCCAGTGCAGTGATACAAGAAGCAGTTCCCCCAGCAGCTGTAGCAGATGAGGACTAGAGCTGCCAGGAAGACCAAGGCACAAATTGTGCAAGGTTTCCGTTCCAGGAGAAAACTGAGCAGGTAGAAGCCCATGAACACTGAGTGACTGAACCACAACGCTGGGTTGAGGGGCTTGGGTATGAGCAGGACAGGCAGCAACCACTGCAGGCAGTACATGGTGGTGGCTGGTGGGGCTCTGTGGCAGCAGCAGTCAGGTGTGCTCCAGGAAAGTCTCCAGCAGCTCCTCTGGCAGACAGGCTGGTCTGTAGGGACAGGTAAAATGGCAGACTGTCAGAAACAGCACAGAAAAATCAACAGAACTTCTCATACAGCTTTATTTATTCCCAGGCATCGTATGCTGGAACTGCCAATATGAAATTCTGCTGTGTCTCAGAGCTAGTGCAAAGTTTCCTGCTTTCTGAACTACTTGGCTGGGGACATGCTTATCTGTTGCTGGTGTAGAAGTTGTGTGCTGTTTCTCAGGCTTTTCCCCAGGTTAGCAGCTTCTCTTTAGCCTAGTGCAGGAACAGAAAGGAAAAAGACTGTACAAAGACTTGAGTGATAGTACAAAGACATGCAACTGAGGGGTAAACTATCAGGTGCTACAAAGAAGTGTTAAGGAAGCATTAGTGTTAAGAAGTGCCTAGGAAGTGTTCAGCACACAAACTGCTTCCTCCCCACAGCCCTGTTATAAAGCTTTCCAGCAGGAGAGCACAGAATTCAAGCTATATATTCATGTAGCTACCCAGGAAAGCCCCAAGTGTCCAGGCTGTAAAACAAAGGGGAGAGCAGTCCCTGCTTAAGGGATTTATAATCCTTGCCAATCAGCTAAAGTCAGATAAAACCAAGTATGTGAATAGATCAAAGAGGGGACAGTCTCAAAACGGCCATTTTCCTAAGTGCTGTAACACAGGATTTCCTCACTTGGATTATTATAAAGCCCTGTGGAAACAGTTGAGCTTTAAGGGCTTCTCCAACAGGGGTGGCAGAACACTACAAGTCCAGAACTCGTGCTTCTATCTTAGCAACCAACTACAGTGTGTGTGGGATATTTATTTTTTTACTTTCTAAGCAGTTCAAACATCTTCATCCAAGAATTTCAAATGGCCTTATAAAGAAATGCCTTACAGGTGTTTCTGCAGAGCCAGAACTGCTGAAAGGGGGCAGAAGAGTAGAGTTCAGCAGTCTGAGATAGCAACAGCAGGTCAGGCTAGAAGATACCAGTATTGTTGGAAGGGAATAACTGCAAGTTTTCCTTCAGTTCAGGCAGTAGGGAAACCATGAGAAGAGGGTACTCCAAACCTATTACCCCAAGGGCAAAACCAGGCAAGGAATACAGAGCCTAGTCAGAACAGCTTCTTACAGCAATCCTTTTATTTGAAAATACTCAAGTGAGTAGTGCTCTGTCAGAGGGATGGAGGGCTGAGCTGAGCCTGCTGGGATTACAACTGGGGGTGGGAAGGTTAGTAGGATGAAGGAGTGAGAAGGTAAACAAACAGCAAATTCCTCTGGCTCCTGTTGGCAGGAGAAGAGATTTGCTGGAGAAGAGAGGGAGAATGAGGGATTGCACAGAAAAGCCAAGAGGAAAACCACACGTGGTTCTCTTCCAAAAAATCATTGAGGTCAGACTTGTCTTACAGCTCTGCAAGCTTGTAGGTAACTGAGTAGCTGTTGTCAGAAGCAAGAATCAGGCTGCCATCCACAGTGTCCTCAGCAGCAGGAGCTATTTTAATGTTAGAGAGAACACAGGCGAAAATCTCCACCAGGGCAAATACTTGAGTATTTGGGGAAAGTATGTTGTGCTGGCACTCTTGCAAGAGAGGGTTCTCTGGCAGAGAGGGGGCAGCTGAGGTTCAATTAGTACAACTAAGCTGTACTTAGGGAGCCAAAGTATAAGGGAGAAGCTATTTTACACTGCAATATGGATAAAGTCAAAGGAATAAAACTTATAATATTGGTTCTGCTTTATGCAAGTCACTCATATCTTTAAGGGCAAGTCTAGCCCCAAGCCTGTTTCCCCCCATCCATACACTGGAAATAAGGATTACTTATTCCATAATGAAACAGGCTGTCTCACAGCTTTTGTCAACTGCCTGGATGTCTCTAGATTAAAAGTACTGCAGAAGTACTAGGTAACTTTTTTTCCAAGGGGAAAAATGGAGAAAAAAATTATCAACAAGCATTTTAACAGAAGGGTAATTAAACCCCACCAGTCAAGTTTTTTAGTTCAGATTGGACTGAATACAACAAAATTGTAACAAATCAATGATCTGCAGCTGCTTTAATCTTCCTGAAATGTTCATTCCTTGAAGCTTCCTACAGCTTTTCTCTCCCAAGTGCTAAAAGACACAGGTAGTGCAAAACATCATGTCATACTTCTGCTGGATCCAGCCCTGAAGTCACATCAGCTCAACTTCTATAGCTGGACATGTGTGGCCAGTCTTTGGGTGACTCTTTCTTGAGGCTTTAGCTTCAAGTGCCTACAGACAGACCCAGGCTTTAGAACTGACTGCAGTTTGAGAGTGTAATTATAACTCATGATATAGCTGCATTTAACTCCACCGTCTGGGCCTCACCATGGCAGAGACTTAAGTGCTAATACTCTGAACAGCAAGCTCATTCTAAGTGTGTAAGCATTACCTAAATGCTTCCTACACACACAGATCCATCTCAGAACAAGTTACCCATTTTCGAATATTGATATTTCCTGGAAGAGCATGCAGAAATCAATGCAACCACTCTGCAGAATAAAGAACCATTTAATAGTGGGTTTTTGCTATGAAGTTTCAATGCCCTTCAATCTGCAAACCTCTTGGACTTTTAACAAATGCAGATGTTTGAGCTCTTTTATCTGTAGTCAGTTGCCTTGTATTTTCATGTGTCCCTTTGTCCACCAGTTAAAGGTTGAAAACCTGTCTGCTGCATCCCACAGCTGATCCTAGAAAAGGTATCACTACTTGAGATTTCTGCAGCTCTGTCTTCCTCAAGGGACTTTACACTGACAAGATAAATAACTCTTCCTAGCTCTTCACTGGAGATTCCTTTATACAGCTGGCAGTGAGACTGTGTTCTCTTT